TTACGTAGTCACCCAGTTGTTTGATGGATTTCACCTGCTCATCCAGGTAATGTGTCTCAATGAAGTCACACAACTAGAAAAGAGAGCAGGGGGCAAAGTGACTGGTAAGCATCCCAGCCCCCCCCCACCCCGAGGCGACCGTCCCTCCCAGGATCCCTGGTTTCCAGCACTCACATGAGGGTCGTTCTTGTCAGTGGCCAATTTGTGCAGTTCCAGTAGGGACTGATTCACACTTTTCTCCAAGTGTAGCGCACACTCCATGGCGTTCAGCCCGCTCTCCCAGTCATCCCGGTCTGGTTTCTGTACGAGAAGAGAAGAGAGGCTCAGTACATCTGCCCTCTGGGACTAATACATGGGAGAAGGTGACAACCCGACCTCTAACCACTACGCCCGGCAAAAAGGGGCACTCACACTCCCCCCACAGCTTTCCATTCCACATCTCAGCCTGAAAGGAAGGCAAAGTCAAGAGCTAAGGGTGGCCTCGCTGTGAGGACAGCATCGCTGGGTGGGGAGGTGACACCCCTCAGCTCACCTTGATGTCCTGAAGGAAAATGCGGCCGCCTCGCTGGTTCTGCAGTTTCATCAGTTTCTCGGCGTGTTCCCTCTCCTCGTGGGATTGGTGGAGAAAATATTTGGCAAAATTCTTCAAAGCCACATCATCACGGTCGAAGTAGTAAGACTGAAAAGAGGAACAAGAATAATATGCTGAAGGCTAGGAATTCCCGAAGGAAGGGAGCTTTTAAGAGTCATAAAGAGTCACAAAGGGGTTTTACACCCGTCTGCCTTTTCCAAAGCACAGCAAGAGGGGGTCAGTGGCGGAGGAGACTGGGGCCAGGTGTGGTGGTTGTTCCTGGACTCAGCCAATTACTCAGTCAAGAGTACTACTCTAAAATGCACAACTGAAACTCCACCCTTGAAGTATGGCTTCAGGGAACTTTTTTTTAAGAAATGGACCTGTGGTCGCTTGGAATTTGCCTCTAGCACATTTCCCAGGGATCTGGCCGCACGTTCTCCTCACCACCTGAGCTCCAGGAGAGCCTGAGATTTTTGCTAGGTGTACAGCAGAGACTGCTGGCTATACACCTTGCTTTCCAGTTTAGGGCACTTGGGTCTTCAAGAGTTCCTGAAATGTAACAGCGGGTCATAGAAGTCCTGCTGTTTTCACAGCTCTTAACTCTTAGCAAGCTGATTGCTGGGTGGGAATTCCACACCTGGGTGTGTGTGTGTGTGTTTCACGCCCACTAACCGTTGGCAGACTTTATCAAGAACTAAGGGTTTAATGCCTGGTCAGGACTTTCCTTTCCAGTTAAGGAAGAAAAAAGTCCGCGGGCCTTGGAGTGGTTGTAATTGGATGGTGGCCGAAGGAACGCGATCTGCATCAATTCCAGTGGGGCTTAAAGATATAAGCTGAGCCCAGGGGGGAGACGGCTGCTCGCTCCCCCCTACCCCCACCCCCCAGGAGATAAGTCACTGCGCGCGGGTCCCTAAGGTTGCCATTCGACACCATTTCCCAGCAGGCCCGGTCACACGAGGCTGGGAGCTGGACCTCCCTGCCATCAATTACCCAGGGGGCCTCCCCAGCAGAGGTTAAAGGATGGAAGCGCCAACTGCCACCTTCGGAGCAGCTGGCGTGATAGGACGGGATCGGCAATCTTCGGAGCAGCTGGCGCGATCGGTCGGGATCGGTAATCGCAGCGCCTCCGGGGCAGGATCTCCCGGGAGAGGGACGCGCAGAGGCCACCCCGCCCCGGAGAGAGCGGCCGGAACGACCCGTGCGCCAGCGCGATCTTGGGCGCGCTCCAGGCGCCTCCATATTTTCCCGGAGGCGGGAGAGCCGCCCGCTGGCCACGCCCGCGCCCGTCCCGCGCCCCGGGCCTCACCATGGACAGGTAGACATAGGAGGCGTAGAGCTCCAGGTTGATCTGGCGGTTGATGGCGGCCTCCGAGTCCTGGTTGTAGTTCTGGCGCACCTGCGAAGGGGACGCGGTCATGGCGGCGGCTGCGCGGTGCTGGAGCGGAGACGAGGACCTTGGGGCGTCAGGGGGTGCTGATGTGAGGAGGTGGAGGAGGACTGGCTGGAGATGACCGGCGAGGGGAGACGCGGGCGAGCGCCGGGTTCCGTTCAAGCACTGTTGAAGCAGGAGACCACAGCGACTCTGCGAAGACCGTCTGGCGCTGACCGCTACGCGGGCGGTTCTTATAGCCTGAGCGAGCGTCGGGTCCGCGCTGTCCAACCAGCGCTTGCCCTTGGCACGCCTGGCTCCGCCCCTTCCGATGCGCGCGCAGCACCCATCTCGCTCTGGCGCGGGGGAGGGGCAGCCCCCTCCGAGGCCCGGGTGGGGACTCGGAAGGGGTCCCTAGCACACTTGGGCATCAAGGAGGGGCCTCCCCAGGTGCTTCTGCGTCCCGTTTGCAGGGTCTGGAGTCAGGATTTGGGGAGGAGCGGGCAGTCCACCTTGTAGCTCCTACTCGTGTGGCGTCGTGGGCTTGGACCCGGGCCTGGTGGGAAACGACTCTGGGAGACTCCAATCCCAAAGCGGAACCCTAGACAGAGCCTGTGGCAAATTGTGAAAAATCAGCGCAGTGTAGAAGCAGTTACAACACCCTAGAGTAATGGTGCAGTTTTGCAACTTTGGAAAATGGCAGGTGGAAGCGTGGGCCTTGCCGCGGCCCAGTGAGTCAGAGGTTGGGTTTGCAAAGGGCTCACTTTCTCTTCCTCAAAGCCGAGATAG